AACAGAGAGAGAAATGGGGAGCGCGGTGGGGCACGGCGCAGAGAGTGAGGGCAGGGAGAGGGAGGGAAGAAAAAGGCGGCAGCCCGCTAAGTTCACGCAGCAGCGCCCCGCAGCCGCACGAAAAGAAATTCATTCCGCCCCCGCCCCACGCAGGCGGCTTTGGCGGCGCCACGGCATTCAGGAGAAACACAACGTGAAGCTAAAAAACAGAGCTGCCGCGAGGCCACGGGGCACGGCGCCTCCTCCCCCCGCAGCAGCGCAGCCCGCCGGCTGTGCCCCGTGCCCGCAGGCAAATAAACACAAACACACAAATATATATTTTTAAAAAATAGTCCTTTCAGGCACTTCCGTAGAAACGCAGTCCGCTGCTGCACTCCGCTGCTCACTTCCCCCCAACGCCGCCGCCCAAATCCGCGGAATTGCGGCACCTCCGCGCCGCGTGCGTGTTGGAGTGTTCTCCCTGCACGCCGCGCGCAAACAACACCCCCCACCAACACTCATCGGAAACAGTTTTCCCAACCGTTAAAAATATACGCCTCGTCCTTCACTCACTGGGCCGCTGCTGCGCTGCGCTGGCGGTAGTGTTGTGATGCGCACCCGCCGCTGCAAACCGCAGCCCAAACAAACTCCTCCCCGCCCTCGGAGAACTCAAAAAACAGTAAAAAAAGGAGGCGCCCAAGAGCAGAGCGTCTTCGGTCGCCGCTCCCGCGCAACTCCCCGCACGTTGCGACCACCCTCTCAGCCTGACGGCTCCCGCGGCGCCCACATCGCTAAGCCTTCGCCCGCAACACGCAGCGCTTTGCCCGCCGTCCCGTTGGCGGCCGCAGCCCCGCGAGCCCCTCCCTATTTTTTCTACGCCGTGCCCGCAGAAGGCCCTCCTCCCCCAGCGTGTGTGTGTGTGGGTCCGGGGCACGCGGCTTCTGGAGCTTTTCAGGAAGGCGAGCGGCACGCCGTAACCGCGAGAGACCCTCGCTGGGGCCCAGAACCCCACACGCAAACGTGTCCCAATTCGAAGATCAAAGAGGCGACACACATTTGTGTGCCGCACGGCCTCCGCACCGTGTGCGCCACACTCCCGCTCAATCTTCTCAGCCCTCCGAAACGGATTCCCCGCACCCCACAGTTTCTCGCCTTCCCGAGCACAGTCGTCTTCGGCAACCGGGGCGTCAGTCGCCTGCAGGGCGCCGTCACCCGCCGCAGTGCGCCCATCGAACGCAGCCGCACTGAAGTTGTCACGCGGCATCGGTCCGACAAGCTGCATGCGACCCGCGACCGCCTCCCACTACTTCTCTTGCCCCTGCGCGGGATGATTGCGCGCGTCCGCCGGGCACACGTCGCAGTCACCTCCTCCTCGTCGCGGCAGCGCATGGTGGGGCGAGGCAGAGATGCAGTCGCATCGCCAGTGCTCTCGAGTTATTTCCCTTTGCGGACGCCAACACGCAATCATGACCCACCCACAAGGCCGTAAGTTTACCCACGGCAGCGGTGCTCCCTCCTCTGGCGCATCGTAGACAACTCACACCCTCTTGCCCGCCACGACAAATCACTCACACGCCCTCGGACCTCGAACTCGCCCTCGTGCCCTGTCGCCGTTTGCGTGGCCGTGTCGAACGCGTCCGCCAACTCGCCTCCGAGGCAGCAGAGAACAAAGTGGAGCGGGCACTCATCGCGGTGCAGCGGCCGGTGGAGGGGGTGGGGGCCGGCACTCGTCCACCACCGAGATCGCCATCCCGGGCGCCCCAATCAAGACTCGCCGCCTCACCTCCAACACTTCTGGCCCTTTGGGGCGAAGCGCCCCGTCCCAACCGCCCTTGACAATCCGCCACACCCACCCCACCGCAGAGTGAACGCAGCAGCCGGCAGTGTTCTCTCCCTCCCTCAGCGGGCACGGCCAGCCCTCCGCGGAGGCGAGTCCCGTCAGGCTGCGACGCGGTGCACGAAGCGGCCCAACGTTGCCCTGCAGCGGAGGAGTTGCCCCCTGCGCCGTGCACGCCCCCCGACTGCGTTGGTGCGTGTGTGGCTCCGTCCCACCGCCGTCCGCACCGCCACTTCCATCCCTCCCTTCAGCCGCAGGAAACCCCAAGACGTGGCTCCACTTCGCGTTGAGCACAAACTCGCACACTCCCTCCACCGTGCGGTCAACGGCTCACTGTGGCCGCGGCGGTGCCTCCTCCGCCCTTCCGCGCTGCGCTGCGGGCTGCCGAGTGCCGCCGGCGGGCCCCGACCTCCACCGACACCGTCCCTGCGGCGCAGCACATGCAGAGCGCCCCCGCAGCAGAGCGAACTCCTTCCTCGCGTCTCCCAGGCATTGAGTACATGAGTTCCTTCCTTCGCAGTTATCGTTGGCTTGCGCTGCGGCTGAACACCCAACACCAGCCAAAGGGAGAACGAGAGGGGGAGAGAGAAACAAAAAATAGGCCCAGACACACGAGTCCACGCAGCCACACAGCAAGAGAGAGAGGGAGAGAGAGGGCCACCACCCGCACGTTGTGTCACACGCATACACATCACACTTCAGCAGCCCGCGCAATGGGTGCAGTCAACCAACAAACACACAAACAAAACAAACCAAACCCGTGAAGTGAATCCGAAGCGTGGGGGCGCGTCCACCGAGCAGTGGGGACGCGCAGCAACACATGGGACGACCAGCACACACACACTCCATCTCTCTCTCTGTTCCCGCACAGCCCAATCCAGGAAGAGAGAGAGAGAAGCAAGAGAGGTCGCCCACTGAAAGCAATGAAAACAAACAAACTAAAAAAGGATAAAAACAGTTACGGTGCTGTACCCATGCGGCCAAGCAGGACGGCAGCGGCTCGTCGGGTGCAAAAACAAAAATAAAACCGACGGGCCTGCATGAGTGGAGGTGTGTATATATACGAGCACATTATGTGTGTGTGCCGCGTGGGGTGCGGCGAGAGCGAGAGAGTCCGTGCAGGGGGACACAGAAATAGAGAGAGAAACGGAAAAGGGCGAGTTGTGTGTGCACGGCCCTCTGTCTCGCTCGCTCAGTCCCTCACGCGGCCAGCATCGCAGTGGCAGCCGCACACGCAAGCAGAAGAATCGGCGCAAGTGGGGAGGCGGAGTGCGCGGCCGCGGTGCCGC